GGGGAAGAGGTCAAAACAGCGGCTCAAAAAAGCCAAAATGTCCCTCTGAGTTCTAGCTAGCAGAGAATAACCTGGGAGTGATGAGGCCGATAGTAGGTATGTTTGTTCTGATGGCCTTAGCTTGGGAGATAATTTTATATACCATCAAGTTGTAGGTATTTTATGGCTTTGAAAGACCTTGCCATTAGGACAACTAGAAAAGAAATAGTCCGAGTCAGAGGTGACCCAATGTGTGTCTTTTGAGATGTTGGACTATGACAACCACCAGGAACCATTACCATGGATTAGGGTGGCTGATAGGAGCTGCAGCTTCCAACCATGTCTGGAGGACTGACTACACATCGCCCACCCCTGGACGAGTCAAAGCATTGATCTGATTTGATAGTAAGGCAATGTGATGCTATAATATATTGACTTCATAGAAATACTTTTTTTTTTTTTGAGATGAATCAGTCAGAATTTTACTCAGCGTTCAAGTGGATCCTCTCTATGGCTAGGCATCTAGAGCCAGTTATCCTATAGTAGTTAAAATTTGTGCATACCCTGTTGATTCAGTGCTGTATAGTGGACAGAGGGAAGTGTGAGGACTCAAGACAACTGGGTTCAAATCCTCTGCCTGCTGTGGCAAATCACTGAGGGGGGAGATAAAGGTAAAACCACTCCTTAAATATCTCACATACTTTGAAAGCCTTGTTAGGGTCACTGTACGTCAGCTGTGACTTGATAGTACATAATGTGAGATAACATTCTAGTTAGGACTAGCAGTTGGTTTGTTTTTTGTTCTCTTACCAAATAATCCCTAGCATGAAGTTGGTCCTTCTGCATAACTGATGTGCCCTGCGTTGACATTTCGTCCTGCTCTCCATCACTGTGTCTTGATCGCTACCTTCTCAGATCTCACTGAAGAACACCTTGACCATTTAATCAAACATGTATTTTGTAACCACTGTGGCAACCGTGTGTCCAAAGGGCAGAAATGTCTTAATTACTGACCAGTGGTTATCTTTATGAGTGAGGTATGCACCTTTACTAAACGTCAAGTTTAACTTTCTGGTTTTGTAATGTTGGCACTTCTGATTGCCGGTATGTTTTTAATTATCCATGTGCCTTTTAATTGCTCTCTGTGTTTTTATAAATAGTCCATCCTGCTAGTTATAAAGGAGGTTTGATTTGAATAAGGCACTTTTACAATGTGTTAGACTGAATTTCGGGAAATTGTGAAAGGAAAGGAGTTGCGTGTTTACAAATGAAACATCCTGTCTAAAAGTAAAAACAAGATAGTTCTGCATATTGAGGTTTGCTAGCTAATTGGATGTCTTAGCAATCTTGTAAGAGGATATGTTGGCATTGTGTAAAGGCACTTCCCCCCCCCTTAAGTAAAATACCCTTTTTGTGAAAAAAAAAAAAACCCACAGCCATCGTTTAATTCTAGCCAAGAGAAGAACAAATGTGGAAATTTTCTTGACTGAGCAATAGACTCACTGAGTGAGGGTTCTGATGTGGACAAGTCTGAATTCTGTTTTTTTCAGGGACAGCAGTGCCAGTAGACTGCCCAGGAGCAGTTGAGCAACCTGTCTCATTATCACATAACCACAACTCTGGTTTTGCTGTGGACTTCACAACACCGCATTCCTTGTCAGGGAACAAACTGTGTGTTGTCTTTAGGAGTACTTTGCTGTAACAGATTGTCTGTGCATTGACTTTATATTACCCTGTTTTCCCTGAAAATAAGACCTAACCTGAAAATAAGCCCTAGTAGGATTTTGCAGGATCCTCGTAATATAAGCCCTACCCCAAAAATAAGCCCTAGTTAAGTGAAACCCTGCCCTCCCCCCTTGTGCAGCCACCAGAAGATGACATGACTGTATATGAATAAATGTAGATTGTTGCACATGAAAAAAATAAAACATCTCCTGAAAATAAGCCCTATTGCGTTTTTGGGGCAAAAATTAATATAAGACCCTATCTTATTTTCGGGGAAACAGGGTAGTATACATGAACTCTGATTTCTGCCAAGAAAGACTGGCTAGGACAAGTCTTCAAAAACCAAGGGTTCCAACAGAAGGACCCCAACAAGCCACCATGGAGATAAGAACCCCTATTTGACCTTCCTAACCCCCAAAAAGATCAGATTGGCCCCTTCCCTTTTACCCTTCCAGTGACAGCTGAAGACCCACCTTTGAGTCCCTAAATGCCATTTTTGAAACTTAAGTTCTTAAAGTTTTACATGTTTTTAATCATTTGGTGTATATTAGTTTTAGTTTTACCGTAATTGTTTTTTATTTATAGCTTACTGTGTTTTTAATTCTGTTCTTTTTACAATTGTTTTTTGATGTATAGCTTACTGTGTTTTTAATACTGTGAGTTGCCTTGAATCTCCTTATTAGGAGAAATGTGTCCTATAAAAAGAGAGAGAAGACTGGCTTCCATATAACCAAGAGTGGATAAGACACTTAAACCCATTTTGCTATTGTTTCTTCCAGACCCTGCCTATGTGGCTACTTTTAAGCGAGGACTACACACTGGATTTGGACAAATCTCAAATTACGAATCATATCAACATAGTTTGGATTTGTTTAAGGTCCATATTGAAGTAGAATGGCCTGATTTTGGTTCTAGAGTGGAAAGGAGTGGATTTACATTGTTCCGTGTATTGATCATGAGTCATCAAATTAGATGGGTCACACTTCACTTGGTATGCAAATATCTGCAGCTAGCAGGCTGAAATTTGGTGGGTTAAATCCCCTCTTTAGTATCTACCCTGTCTTCAAACTTCAGAGACATCATCACAAAGCCACAAAAGTGTGAGCTGTTGTGGTTTTCCAATGCAAGTCAACAAGGAAGCTTACAAGCTGACTCAGATGTGGGGGCATTGAACTGAACAAAATGGGTCATGGATTGCTCTGGGCTGAATTCAGAAACCCCACAAAGCCTTCAAGACTGAATTGCGGGACTTGTGCGCAGCCCCATGTCTTCCTTGCTGTAGTGCTCCTGCTTTAGTTCCTGGCCCTTCCTATGTCCCCTGGCATTCTCCCTTTCTTGCAGGATAGAGCTCTGGTTGCTGCTTGTTGGGTTTTGAATTCTGAAACCTAACTCAGTGGTTCCCAGCCTTGGGGAACCCAGGTATTATTGGACTGTAATTCAGCAAAAGACTTCCCCACCAGCTGTACTGACCGGAGTTTCTGGGAGAGACAGTCCAAGAACACCTGGATTAGCCAAGGTTGGGGATCGCTGATCTAACCCACAAATTTACACTCACCCAGATTCGCCAGTCCTGAACTATCATTCAAGCTTCTGTACATGAAATGGAGGTGGATCCATCACATCTTCTGCTCCAGGATGTCTTGGGATAGTACTGTGGTTCAGCCTATAGAGAAAGGCAAGAAGGGAGGGCAGGGTTGCAGTATGCACTGGAGACAGGCTTCAGTTCTATATCCTAGATCACATGTGCTTAATTTACAGGCAGATGGTAACCAGTGCTTGGTATTTAGATCATTTTTAAAGGGTAGTTGAAGAAAGAGATGTATCAAGCGCTAGCGGCCACAGTGGTTAGATTGCAGCCTCCCTCTTTAAAGTGCCCGGTCTTCACCAAGCGCCTGAAAATGGAGTGTGAGGGGCAGTAGACCTATGAACAGTGCTGACTGCTGGTGCAGCAAGGAAAAGCCTTTGGAAATGGATCTCATAATCAGGCCAAACTTTACCTAGTTAGTTTCATATTGTCTCTACTAGGGTTGGTAGCTTCCTAGGGTTGCTGACAAGAGGTTGTTTCCTCTGCAACTCAAAAAAGTGCAAAATCTCAGACTCTGGTGCCAAAACTGGCCATAATAGGGTCACAACCAGGCCCTCTTGAGCATCCTCAAGAGGGCCGCATGCTCTTGGCCATGATACTAGCATTTGGTCACTGCCCAAGGCTTTTACGGATTTTCCTCTTTTTTAAAAGGTCGCGCTGTCTATCCTAAGAATTACCACCAGGTAGGATTTTGAGTTCCACCCTTTTGCTTTGGGAGTCAACCCATTCCTGAAATGTACCTTTTCTGAAGTTGAATTGGTTCCTTAGGCTGAAAGAGGTTCCCTGTTGTTGTGATTCTGTGGACAAGCAGATGGTCTGCCATTGAGCTAAGATGCCTCTCTTCGTACCAACCTGACAACGTCAGTGAACGACATGCATGAAACAAAACCTCGGCCATTGAGCAAAGCATGCGCAAATGGAGAAGTCTGTGGGATCAGCTCCTAAACCGCAGAGCATTAAAACCAAAGCTGTGAAGTGAGATGGGAAACAAACGGAAAACCACTGGAGATCAGATAGTATCTTCTGAACGGCCCATCACAGACAACAGCAGTCGTGCGGTGGCATCTAGGAACAAGTTAAATTTTGAGGAGAGTCTTCAAGGGCAGTCCTGCATAGCGTGCATTACAGTACTCTAACACTGACGTTCTACTACAACAACATGACTGACTGTGGGGCGAACGCTACACTGACCGCAGTGAAGTCTTCACAACAAAATATAGTTCCCTGTGGAATTGCAACATGCCCGCAGCTCTGCTTATAAATAACCTTCACTTTTTATGCTGTAGAAGCTATGAATCCTTTTCCCAGGGTTACTACATACACCATGAACATGCTGTTCTTGACAGCTTCTCATATCTCAGAATTCAATGTTTTTTTCCCCCAGCACTATGGATGACACATTTTGTTCCTTTATTTGCTAGTGTTTTACTGTCCTTATTTTCCCCACCAAGAAGTATAGAAGAGTTTGATTCCTTCAGCTGGCTTTTAAAAAACAAAAAAACCAAATAGGCCTTGGCTAGTCCTGGCTTTTGAATCTTGCACACACCCTTTAAACCTCACTCATTCTTTCTGTTCAAATTTCACATCAAAAGTTGGTGTGGCTTCAGCCCTCTTTCCAAAAAGCAGATTTGGGAGCAAAATTTACAGTTTATTAATTACAGTGTCTGCTAGCAACCCAATTTATGTTTCCATTAAAACGAAGAAGAAGCAGGAGCTTCCAACAGTTCTTCATGGGGCCAACTATCTTATGACTCAGCTCCTTTTGTAAAGGAACCCATTGATTTCTTTCCTAAAATCCAGGGACCACTGCTGTGGTGGAAAGGCCTGTGCTTCACTCCCTGAAAGGGTGGTTCTGCTCACCATTAGTCACGACGGCTCTGCCCCCTCCTCTTGTTCAGAGAGGACTTTCAATGTATGCTTCTCCCTTGAGCTGCACAGGTCTGAACAGCACTGCTTTGGTTATTCACAGTTTTCCCCAAGAAATCAACAAGTATTCCAATAAATAAAAGCAATCAATAAATATTCAATAGGTACTGGTCACCCAGAACCCCATGGGTTATACATGGCGCTGTATGGAAAAGTTTGTCAATGCTATGGAAGAGAATACTGGTGGAGAGAACTGTTCGGTATGTGTCTCTATGTGTGAATCAACTCTTTCTGCTTTGTAATTACGTTTGGTGTTGGTGGGGGGCATAAGAGTTATATGTGGATTTTGAACAAGGGAGTCCAGCGCCCCTAACCCCCCCCCCTTGCTGTTGAAGGGAGAAAAGCATTACCAAAGAGCGATGTGGGCATAATGGTTCCTTTAGAAATTACAGAAGGGTAGTGTTGAAAGACTCAATTAGTGCCGCTCACTGCTGTTGCAGGAAACCCACAGCTAGACTTGCATTGACAGATGGCCACCCAGCCTCCGTCTAAAAACCTTCCCTGGAGGCCAGCCCGTCTTCTATTTTACTGTTTTCCAGCCCTTAACTGTTGTGAAGTTCAGCTGGAATCTCTGGCTCAGGTCTTCCTCTCTGGAGAAGCAGAAGACAAGCTTCCTCCCTTTTCCCTCCGGAGTTTCAAATATCTGAAGACAGCAATATGATGGTCTGTGGTTAGCACACAATCTGTATTAACTGGCCAGTTACTGTAGTTTTGTGCATGGCCAGTATTAGCAAGCCTACAAGGCACAAGAAGGCTTTCATTTTAGCACAATGGGGCAGTTCCAGACTGGGTAATGCTTTTATTAGAGCTGTGCAGATATGTGGTTGGGTTTTTGTTACTACAGTTACTACAATCCCCAGTACTCATGCCAGAGAATTCTGGGAGTTGTAGTCCAAAACCACAAACCTGCACAGCTCTGCTAAAAAAATAAAACATGTTACAAGCCAAGCAAGTTTCGAAGTCCTCTGGGACTCTTTGTCAGGCAAAGACAGTATAATATCTGGGATTGGGTGGTGGTGGAAGAAAATAGGCAAAAAATGTGGGGGTCATATGTGATGCCTATTGTTCTTGAATGCAGCCTGGTGGCAAAGCGAGAGCTTCTGCTTGGAGTGTGAATCTCACCCAAACCAACGAAGACCACCCACCAGAAGGATGGGCTGGAACACTTGATTACTCCCTACCTAGAAAATCCTCGAGAGGGTCCCCATATATTGGGCTAGACTTGAAGGTGTGCACGCACATGTTGATGAAATGGATGGGAGTCCACAAAACTCCCAGTTTAGTAGATCTTTTAATGGGTGTCTTAAAGATCACATAGACCTCTTTATTGATTTTCTGCAGCAGGCTTTAACAGCTGTTGGCTCAGAGACAGTAAGCCATTAAAGGCCACTGGTTGGGGGAGCATCAACTGTTTCAATGCCATGGTTGTGGGTCTTGCTGGTCCCTCTAGTGCAGAGGTTCCCAATCTTGGCTCTCCAGATATTCATGGACCACAACGCCCAGAAATCCTGGCCAGCGTAGCTCGTAGTGAAGGCTTCTGTCCAAGAACATCTGGAGACCCAAGGTGGGGAACCATTTCTTTATTGGGAAATGGGGTCTTAGAGAAGGCAACCATTTTGGCTTGATCCAGTATAATCCTCAGGGTGCTCTTGATCAGTGGATTGTACTGTTCAAAGTGTGATCTCGAACCCAGCCTCCTCTTGGAACAAAGATAAAGGCATTCTTACCAAGATCATAATGACTAATCAGTATGTATATTTATATCAGGTCTTGAAAAAGTGACTAGCATCCAGGCCGAGGATTCTAGAACTACTTAGAAAAGAGTGGTTGTTCACTTAATAGATCGGCAAATTTATCTGTCTTCTCTTGCACTTGAATTCTGGTTGTTCTTCTGATTAATACTAAATTTTTTAAAAAAGCAATTGTTATAAACTTGTCATTGATCCGGAGTTAAAGTGGGATGTGTAGCATCAGAGCTCCCCCTAATGTTCTTATGAATACATTTGCTTTTTCATTTGAACAAGTATTTCAGATATTTAAGAATATCACAAGCCATTCTTCCTGTGTTTGAGGCCCCTTCTGCTCCTGCAGTAGCATGGATCCTCTTCCAGATTTCTGCCCCAAAGTCCTGTTGCAGAATTTTGAATTTCTGGTAAAACTCCTTTTCTTATCCAATAGAAGTACAGAGACTCACAACAGAGACTAGCTACAAGTTCCCCAGAGTCCACCCCTTTCTCATTAAATGGCACTTAAAGCTTTGATAACTCACTCTGAGATATTTGTTGGAGAAAAATATTAAAAACAAAATCATTTATTTACAGTTGCTTGAAATTACTGACTTGTGTATTCTGCTTTCTTTACTCCACACATACTTAGCAACCAACTGAAGTGATCAACAGCAAACAACCAACACCAACAGAATGAAGAAAGGGGAAAATTCTCAGTAGAAAGGAATGATTAGTTAGCACAGGATAGTCGATTGCTCCATGTCTAGGAAAGTCCCAGTCACACAAACTACAGACAGTATGTGGGGTTGCAAATAAAACTCCAACAAGATCTGACCAAAACACAACACAATATAATTATTTGGTTGTCTTCCTCATTTTCGTCTCACAGTAACCCTGTGATGTAGGCCAGGCTGAGAGGAAGTGACTAGCCAAAGTGGGAGTATTGATTGAATGGGAAATAGAATCTCAGTTTTCTGTAACTGAGATTAACCTCTGAACGACTCTCCCATTTCCTTTCATTCTTATGCTACCTTTCTTAAGGCAGCTCACAATTTTTAATTTTTTTTTTACATACCATGGAACTAAAAGCAAAAATCACACTGTAATTTTTTAAAAAGTCACCATATTAAAAAGATCAGTCATTTTAAAGCCATTTTAGAACACTTTAAAAACTAGCCCATGGCACATGCTCTCACTTGTCTCTTTAAAAAATTAATGTATTAGGACAACTTTAAGACCAAGGCTAAGATCCTGCTGGATTCGCAGGACGTGAACCTGGAAACTGTGGGTGCAATCTTGCTGGTGGTGTGTTGCGCGTTCCAACATGCCAGATAGTTAACTGGCAAAAGTGATTGTCCTTCTGGACATGGATATTTGCAACAGATTTTTGTCCTGAGACATTTGTTGCCCTGTGAGATTTTCTGGAGGACGAGGCCCTTCTTCAGACACAGCATGGAAGAGGTGGATCGGAAACTGCACACCGACTTCAACTTGTCGGCTTCAAAGACGCTACAGTAGTTCCTAACCTTTGCTGTGGTTTTGGCCGAAACAGACCAACAGGGGAAGAACAAATGATAGCCTTCTTCTATCATAGGCATCGTCCTTGCCTGCTGATGGAGGCCTAGTGTAGCCCAGAGGCTAAAGTGTTTGGTTGTCATCCAGGCGATCCAGGGAGTCCAGCATGAAGCCCTTTAGGCCACCTGGGGGCTGTCTCACCCTATCCTACCTTAAAGGGTTGTTGTGAGGCTGAGCTGGGGAGAAGCAGGGGGAGAGCGCCGTCCACCCTCTTGAGCTTACTGGAAGAAAGGCAGGAGAGCAATGCCACCCGCCGGTGGTCTCTCTTCGAAACCACCCGCTGGCAGCTCCCGGCTTGCAAAATCATGGGGTCACTCCAGGTCACTCCATCTCTTGTCAGTCTCTCTGAGCTCCTTTGGAAGTGGGGAAAGAAATCTTCCTCTCCGTCCCGGGAGTCAGGAGGGAAAAGGACTGATGGATAAAATGCTGGAGCGCTCAGAGGTTGGGAGTTCGATTCCCCCCGGGCCTCCTTGAGAGGAGCTGGACTCGAGGATTCCAGAGGGTCCCTTTCAGCTCTGCCCTTCCAAGATGATGATTCTCCCCGGGTGAGGAGATCACCACTCAGAGTTTTATCTCCGCAGGTGAGGAGATCTCCACTCAGAGTTTTAAGGCAGCCTGCGACGGCAACTCGGAGCCTCCAGGAAAACATTGGGTGGGTGGGTGGATGGGGGGGGGGACCCCTTTAGCCATGCAATGTACCGGATTCTACCTAAAGAGTCATTTCGGCAGCCAACGTTGCCAGCGGTCTTAATCCGAAGCCCAAACAAAGCCACCCCTGAAATCTCTTTGCACCTTTTAATCTCCGCATCACCTCTTTGGCTGGTCAATTTCCTGCCCCCGGTAAGCTCGTCAATTTCCTCCCCCGAAGTGCCAGCCTCGGGCGAACTCGCTCCACCGCCTGAGCCGGCACGTGTGCATGCCTCGACGTCTTCCTCAACCCATTTTCCTGGGGGTGGGTGGCGTGGGGGCCAACTGCGGGGCAGGATCGGATCCCTCCCCTGCCCCCCTCACGACGTGCTATTAAGGAAAGGGGGCTGGAGAAGAGGAGGGGGGTCAGTTTTACCTCCTCCTGGCCCTTTTCAGATCGAAGCCCTTGCGCACCCCTTCGCCCCCGCTCGCTGCCAGGGGCGGGGATCACTTAATATTGCTTAAGGGGAGGCCATCTCCGGAGGAGAGGATCAGGGATCGCTTCCGATCTGGCCAAGAGGGCTGGGTAGCGGCAGGAAGGAGGTGGAGAGAGGATCGTATAAAGGCAGGAGACCAGACCCTTGCCTCCCCCATCGCGGCTCGGAGTTCCTCGCCTCCTATTCCAGCCTCTGCTTGATTCCTGGTTTTCTGAAGGGCGGTGCAGGCTCCCTCTTCCACCGGCAGCATTCGCAGGAATAAATCGCCCCAACACCACTTCGGGTGGTTGCAAAGGTAAGCCCGGCTGGCTGGCTGGCGTTGGATGGAGGGGCAAACTCGCCTTCTGTACTGGGCGAGTCGGGGGACGGGCTGAGGTGTGTGTCCCCCCCCCTCCCCAACCGCCCCTTCCAGCTTCACAAGATTCCCGGTCCTTTATGACCAAGGGTTTTTGAAAACTCCGCGGGATCGCCGGAGATCAATAAGCCACCGGGGAGATGGGTTTTTAGATGAACGGAGACCGTCTTTTGCCTCCTCGCCCGCCGGGCATCCCGGTAGTAGATTTTAATGACTGAACAAGGACACTGAGTTTTTACCTGCCTGCAAATTGCATGAGGTTTTGTATTTATTGATTTTAAGGTGGAGTGGGCAAGGGTCTGGGTTCATTATTTTTTTTTCTTCACTCGTTTTAAAACGGGACACACTAGCTGGCTACTTCAGGCAAAAGCGGGTGGCTACCACACCGAACTGTAGTGGCCAGTATCGTAGGGCTAGTCCTAACTAAGAGTCGGCCCGTTGGATTGAATCAGTTTTCGAGTGGGAAGTCAAGGTTTGGGTGAATGCCTTCGAGTCACTGAGTCTACTCTGGCAGGGACCAGCTGCGGGACATCAGCCATTAATTTAGTTAGATTGCAGCAGGATAGAGATTTGAACTCAGGTCAATGGGCAGTATACTGTCTGTGGCCCTGCACTTTGTAAGCGGCAACTGGCCTTTACCTCAGATCTGACTGCATCTCATGCCTTCCTTTGTGTCGTCTTCTGTGTGAAGAGAGGGGCAAGATTCCAGTGATTCCCAAGATTATCTCCCCCGGCACACTTCTTAAACCGAATCTGAACATGGGACACCATCCATCCGGTGCCCACTTTTTTAAGGAAAGGTTTCTCCTCTTGTTATCAATGGAGTTTGTGCACTGCTACTTTTTTTATTCACCATAGAAACTTTGGTCTTTTCCCCCCTCTTTTTTTGCAACTGCGTGGTGCAGTAGTCAAAAAGGCAACCACAGTTCCTAAGGTGATCAACACCAGCCTCCTTCCTTCTACAACCCATTTACTGTGTCTTAAGCCGCCTGCCCTGCTTTCTGCAACTGGTACATCATAGATGGAATTACACTTAGGAGGCGTTCTTATTCCCCCCCGGAAGAGGGAGAAACCGACTGTGGAGAGGCAGTGGTGGTTTTTCCCCCCCAATGGGAAATCATTAATAGCATCCAAACGGAGGAGAAGGCAAACTGAAATGAAATGTGATCAGAGATGCTTAAGTGCAAAGAGGTTCCGGGTGCAGAAATATTTTAACTCTGTCCTGGCTGGCTGAAATACCGAGCAGAGTGTAAAGCAGGACCTTCAGAGCACGGAGCAGAGATGGGAGTTGGAGGAGGCCGCCTCGAAAGCTAAATGGAAGAGCCACATCTGTCTACCAGACGCATTTAGACTACAACTTCCCTAATCTCCAACCGCTAGGTAGGCTGGCTGAGTGATAGGATTTGTAGTCCACAGCACTGTTAGCAAAGCTTTGAAAAGTGATGCTTTTGGATCACATCTCTCAGAATGCTAGCATGCCATGCTGGCTTGGAGGGCATTCTGAGGTTTGTAGTGACTTATTCCCAGACTCTGATCTGGACAGACCCAGGGTGTTAATTTATATTTCTGTCCACTTATCAGGTGTATTTTATGTATTATAAACCTGTTGCCTAAGTTCCTCTTTAAGTTATCTTCTTTTATTACTAATAGGCCTACATGCATGCAAGGTGCACTAGCTCAAGCCTGCACCTGGGTGTCCATTCATGCCTCCTGCACAGTTCATGGGGATGTAAACTGTGAAGCACGTTGCAGCTTCAATTACATGTGATGGAATGGCCTTCTGCAGGAGGAAGGCTAACTGCTGGAGGACATGTCGTCCCACATTTGGATTGTGCACTTGCTAAATGCAAAACTGAAGCTCATACTCGGAAATCAGCCCGCCAATGGTTGATTATGGGCACGTAAGAATCATATGGTTTGGTGTGTGTGTGCAGGGAACATAATGGATATATTCCTAAGCCCCTTGTCAAGGGGGCTCAAAACTTTTGTTTCACAGGATTATTAGACTGCATGGATTGATGAACTTGGAACAAAACTGTTTTTGAGTTTTGTAATCGGGGCTGTGGCTTTGATTCATTTCACTTTGAGAACTAAAGCCAAACCAAGCCCAGCCCAGCAATGTTTGAAATTATTTAGGACTACCTTCACTCTGGTCTAACTTGGTCTCCCTGGCACAGGGACTGTTTTTCTGGGCTATAGGATCTGATGGAGCTCAGCTCTTCCCTCACCCTACCCTTCCTACCCTCCTTTTTCAGGCTCTTCTGCCAGCTGATCTCAGCCAGCACTGCAGTTCTGCTGGCAGATTTCTGAGATCAGCCAGCAGAAGGGGATTCTGCTGCCTCAAAGTTGGTGATGCTACCCCAAGAAGTGTCTATGCATTCCAAAAGCTGTGACAGCCCATACAACACCGAGTTAGGATTGTGCTGTGAGCTGGGTGGGCTTTCGAGCCAAGCAGCCATTGCTCCTGACATCTTGATGTCCCCAGGAAGCTTCTCCAGAACCTACAGGGACCTGGTGGCTGGGTGTGAAGAGGGAAAGTCTCCATCAGGGTGGCTGAGAAAGTACACTTCCCTTGGGAAGTGTTGAGTGAGACCACAGAGGGAATCGTGCACATAGCTTGGGAAAGTTCCTTTTCTGGATGACAGCTGCAAGAATCCCTCAGAGAGCCTGGCCATCACTTTTCTGGAAGGTGCTTTGAGTTGACTGATGTGGAAGACATCACCACATGGAATCTAGTGGAGTTTGGACGTGGCCTTGCGATGTGGAAGGATCCTTTGACTTTTAGTCCCCCACAAGCAATCTACGGTATGATTACATGGGGGAATAGATTGCATTTTGGGCCACTTGTGGGATGGTCCACTGCAATCTATTTCTCAGGGACCGCACGGCATGCAGCTGATTGTGTTCTAGCCTCACCCCCATCCGCACCCAAGCTGGACCCTTTTTGGGCTACCACTTTTGGGGGCAGGACTGGACCAATTTTTCCAGCAGATGAAAGGGTTGCTTTAAGGGAGGTGACTCTCCGCCAAGTGACCCTTTTGTGACCCTGTGGCTAATACCTTGCCTTTTCTGCCCTCTGCTCCTGCCCCTTTGGCCCCGGCAATGCCACCGCGTGGTTACACAATCACACAGGTTCTTCCTTTCTTGAATGCTCTCCGTATCCTCTCCTTTTGTACTCAGTGAACTGGGTCTTTTGAATGGGTGCAAATGCAACATGGTGTAAAAGGATGCATGCGGGTAACTCTGTTGGGTTCAGCTTCACAACCCCCCTTCTGCCTCTGTGCTTCTTGTTTCCAAATCCAATCCCATTTCCCCCTCCACCAATCATCCCTGAAAGGATTTCCCCTTTGTTCCACCCTTTTCTTGATGGCTTTTCCACACCAGCTTTCTTCTGTGTTTGCTCCAGGAGGTATTTTAGTGTCGACTCATGGATTTCTGATCCATTCCAGATGTTGAGGCGGCATCTCTAGCACAAGCCAGCCGGATGGATTGGAAAAGAGCTCACTCTGCTATCCTCCCCTCCCCTCTTGCTTAAAACAAAAGCAAAGTTTGTTCAGCTGGCTAGATGGCAGCAATTTTCTTTTGAAGGAGATTCAGGCAAATACCAAGAAGTTCCAACTCAAACATAATTTTCTTTCTTTCTTTCTTTCTTTCTTTCTTTCTTTCTTTCTTTCTTTCTTTCTTTCTTTCTTTCTTTCTTTCTTTCTTTCTTTCTTTCTTTCTTTCTTTCTTTCTTTCTTTCTTTCTTTCTTT